GGGAGGGCAACTTCACCTTCCATGGCGAGGTAATGCTTTTAATTAATAACATTTTTTGTAACAAATAAAAAGTAGCCTGAATTTTTTATTTATTTAGAGGGATATTACGATAAATTGATAAATGCTTATCAAAATATTTTTTTAAAATTTTATTATCAATAATTTCCTCACAATTATTAACAGACAGAACGGTTTGATTGCATTATAATAACCTTTTATTGAGAATTAAAAACACAATGTTTTTCTGTGTATTTAATTATCAACTCTACATATACATAAGTTGTTACTGTTATTGCGATGAAACGCACTTGATAATCGATGCAACCGTTCATATTCAAATATTAGATTTATGAAGAATAGACTTAGGCAGATCACCCCACCTCATTATGCATTCCGTTCTCAATTCCCATTAAGCTTTGCTTTCGTTCTTTTTACTTTCTTGTGAACTGTTTGTTTTGGCTCGACAAGATTTTGCGATTGAAGGAGAACATTTAAATACGCAGATTAAAGAGAATTCTACGGTTATACATACTTGTATAAAAAAATTATGCGTTTTTATAAGATTATATTTATAAAATTCAATATATATACCATTCTCTGATGAATCTTCGGACGCTATACATATAATGAGATAATAGAAACTTCACACATAATTAAAAATACAGTATTGAAGTTTCGCGGAATTAAAAAAAAAATTAAACGTATTATCAATTTCATAAAGGCTGCCTTATAAAAAAACAGATTAATTATTGATTTGTTTAGATCAAAATTTTGGTAAACGTGATAGAGGATACGAACAACGTTACATTACACGCAGCTGACATGAAAATCAATGAGGACTTTACAAGTATTAGAGAATATTCGGTTAACAATAAGAGCAATAAGACCAAAATTCAAATCGGGAAGCAGATAAATGATACCAATAAACAATTTCACGTGATTAGAACATTGGACATGTTGAAGAAAGGCAAGCAATACATCGTACATCTCAAGTTTATTGGTTATTTGAACGACAATTTGCACGGTTTCTACAGAAGCTCGTATACGACCAACAATCAGACGAGGTAAACGATGTCGTAATCATATAATACTTCGTAGATGGTATAAATTTAGAATTGTTTCTTTCTTTTATTGATTTAATTAAATGTCTTATTTAATCCACATACATGTTATAATATAAAGTTCTTTATTATTCATTGCTAAATTCATCAATCTAAAAAACTTTAACCTACATTTAATTAAATAAAAAGGCATGGTTATATTAAATATCACAAATAAATATGAATGTATCAAAAGACAAATTTAAATTTATGTCCTAAAGAGCAAGAGAGAAAGAAAATGTGTTACTACAATCTTACTACATTCATTGATTTCTAATAATGTCTCATACTTATAACTTATCATCGCAAGGTATTTTGATTAGACAGTTGAGCGAGTGATTATCTTTTTTGAATAATCTCTCTTGAATAATCTTGTAATCACGTGTTTGGTTAATGCATTCCTATGACGAGGAATGTTGACTATTTTCCAAAGATATCTAGTTTTTCACAGATGGATTGCTGCGACACACTTTGAACCGACGTATGCACGCGAAGCTTTCCCGTGTTTCGATGAACCGGCTTTGAAAGCCAAGTTCCAGATCAACATAGCGCGTCCCGTGAACATGACATCTATTTCGAATATGCCTAGAATAGATAAACCTGTGGGAGGTGCAAAGGTGTAAGTAATTATATATTATATTTATATTTATATGTATATTTTTTAGATTAGTGCCATGTGTTGTTTCGTAGTATAAATTTGATTCGCCGTATTTCTTGAAGTAATTTCCGCGATTGGGATTTAAATTTGTAATTTAACTGCATTTCTCTTTATAATTTAAATATTTTTATTCAGCTCAAAGCGTTCGGAACATGAAATTAGAGTAATTAAAATAATAGTCATTTATTTTATGAAGCTCATAAAGAATTTAGTGTATATCACATATGTATATTGCGATTTTATTTGGCATTTAAAGACCATAAATTTAAAAATATTTTTCTATTGTTTAAGTAAGCTTAGATAATAAATATAATAATTCATAATATATGTGATTACTTATAAAATGCCGATTTCAGAACAAATTATTTAAGTGAGTATTACAAAGTTTGGATTTATTTTTTGTATTTTAATAATCAGACCCGGTTTAGACACGTACGTATGGGATTGCTATGTGCGTTCGGTACCGATGTCTACATACTTGGTGGCCTTCATAGTTTCTGATTTTGATGTACGGAAATGCAAAAATGGTGCATTTAGAGTTTGGGCGCGCCACGACGTTATTAATGAAGCACAGTACAGCTATAATATTGGACGGAAAGTACTCAATTTCTTTGAGGACTATTTCAAGATCAAGTACCCTTTGCCGAAGATGGATATGATCGCGCTACCTGACTTTGACGCCGGCGCCATGGAGAATTGGGGGTTGATTACGTATAGGTATTAATGCTATTTTGTTATTAATTTAGTAGACTTGATTTGAGTTTGAAAGAAAAGATTGTTGACATGCAAATAATTTACTTTGAGATAATTTAAAAGAATATTATTAAAAACATAGTACTTGAAATGTCAGAGGCAGTTTATAAAATTCTTTGAATTAGTTTATACTTGTATTGTCATAAGTTACATTAATAATAAATGTGCAAAAGACGCTAATAATTGCATGAGATTCGGAAATAATTAGTATGCTATTTTGTTTATTTAGAGAGACATCAATGTTGTATGGGGACACAATAACCGATGAGAGGAAGCAGAAAGTAGCCATAATAATATCTCACGAGATTTCGCATCAATGGTTTGGGAACTTAGTGACTCCAAGTTGGTGGACAGATCTTTGGTTGAACGAGGGTTTTGCCACTTATATGGAGTACATCGGTACGAATGCGGTAAGTCATTCAATACGGGATTATATTTCGTACGGAATGTCAAATTATAATACTGTATGTTGGTAAATTGGCGATTTTAGAAACTTGATTTAGAAAACGTTAAATGCGTCGAGCGCGCTTGAATCTATTTCATACATTATATTACAATGTAAATTCCATATTTTTGAAACGTGCAGATAGAGCCACATTGGAAAATGCTGGAACAATTCATTGTTATTGAACTTCAAAGTATATTCGGTTTAGATGCTTTAGAATCTTCTCATTCTATATCTATTAAAGTCGATAATCCAGATGAAATCAACGAAATCTTTGACAAGATTTCTTACTCAAAAGGTGACTTGACAATTTATGGACAATTACGATTCTAAATAGTGTAACTATATCTATACATTGAAATTACTCAGGTGCTTCCGTAATAAGAATGATGGATCATTTCCTTACGACAGAAGTTTTTAAGAAGGGTCTAACTAATTATTTGAATGAAAAGTGAGTAAAGAGCTTAATTAGTAAACTTTATATATAAAACGATTAAAAATTAATATTATTGGAAGTAATATTTTTACAATATTGTAAATGTAAATAAAATTTTATAAATGAGTTTTTACGTAACGCGGAAATAATTACTGATATTTCTATGAGTTTTCAATAGAGCTTATCAAAATGCCAACCAAAATGATTTATGGTATGCTTTAACCAAACAAGCTCACAAGGACAAAGTACTTGATCCAAACGTAACTGTTAAGGAAATAATGGATACTTGGACCCTGCAAACCGGCTTTCCAGTAGTCACAGTCATACGGAACTACAATAGCAGTAGTATTACGCTGACACAGGTGCCAATAATCACAAGATAAATAATAATTGAATAAAGTATAATTTATTAAATAACAATTCTCGTAGGAACGCTTTCTGCTTGACAATAGCGACTCACCTGCCGATAAATCGAAACCATTATGGTGGATACCTATCACTTATACGAGTGAGAAACAATTAAACTTCACTAGCACGCAACCTATGAAATGGATGAAAGCAGAACATTCGATCGTTCTTAACAATTTGGATGTAAGCCCACATCAGTGGATACTTTTCAACGTTCAGGAAACCGGTAATTATATGCCAATGAAATATTCATAGGAATAGGAAAATGTTATATTTTTAATGACGAAAATAAAAAAATTACTTTTATAATACGGAATTTATATTATTTATTTTTGATTTATTTAACAAATTAATTATTGAATTTGATTTGGACTAATTCTATTAAACACTAAAATTTTGTTTAAAAATATATCTAGAAATATTTAGAAATCCTTAGAAATATTTTAAAGCTAATTAATAATATAAATTTTAAAATTTGATTAATTTGTGTGAAAAAAAATTATAAATTGAAATAGATAAGGGGAGTTGAAAATTTTAGAAAGAAAGATACCGACAAAATATTTTTAAAAAGATGAGAAATTTACTTGTTATTTGTTATAAAATATAAATATGATTTTTTTGTGCTTAAATGACAGGGTATTATAGAGTGAATTATGACATAACAAACTGGTATATGATAATTAAACAATTGCATAAAAATTTCACAAATATCTCGACTATTAATCGAGCGCAGTTAATCGATGATGCTTTTAACTTGGCTAGAGCTGGCAAACTTGATTACGATATTGCTTTCAATGTTACGTCTTATTTGGCCTACGAAACTGAATATTTACCCTGGACAGCAACATTCAGTGCTATAGATTATCTCAACAATATGTTAATAAAAACACAGATATACGACAAATTTAAGGTATATATTCATCAATCAAGAATAGCAGTAAGAAATATTTCTATATGAAAATTAAATTTCAATAGTTGCTTAATTTGATTTTATGATATTAATATAAAGCGTATGTGATACCTTACTAGTGTAATAACCTCTAATATTTTTTAGTTGTACATATTAAAGCTACTGGATAGTGAATACAAACGATTGGGTTTTATTGACAGAGTGGAAGATTCTCAGTTGACAATCGTTACTCGAAGTAAAGTTCTAAGTTGGGCATGTAACTTCGATCATGAGGGTTGCGTTATGAATGCCGTGCAACAATTCAGATATTGGCGTAATAATCCTAATCCGGACATTAATAATCCGTAAGTATATAGAAATATAATATATTATATCATTTAAAATTATTTATTTACTATTGCATTTTTCGACGTCCAGAATCGCAAGTCTGACAATGAATTGCTTTATTCGTTGTTTCTGCCAGCGTTAAAACATATTAATTCCATATTCTAGATAGTTCGTTATTTTTAAAGAATAATTGATAAAGCTATTTATGTATATTTTCGTAACCATTACAAATTTTGTGTTTAGAATTCCGCCAAACTTAAGAAGCGTGGTTTATTGCACGGCCATTCGAGTGGGTGGACAAAGCGAATGGGAATTCGCTTGGCAGCGGTACCTAGGAACCAATGTAGGATCGGAGAAGGATCTGCTTCTACAGGCATTAGCCTGTACAAGAGAGATATGGCTGCTGCAACGATACTTAAGTTCGGCTTTCACGAGAAACTCTGGAATCAGAAAGCAGGATGCTTCTAAGGTTTTCCGATTGGTTGCCAGCAACGTTGCCGGACAGCTACTCGCGTTTAATTATTACAGAAACAAATGGACGCACATCAAGGAATAGTAAGCTATTTCCCTTATTTTCATAAATCCGTACTGACACTGTCACGGAAAGTCTAGAAGAATATTATTAATTATTTGGGTTGAGCAAAAAGTAATTTCGTACTTTGCGGATATATGTCTTTAATAAGAAGTGTTTGCAATCTTCATTTAATATCTGATAATATATATTTTTTTAAAAGCTAATGTTTTTATACGTATTTAAATTGTCATTTATCAAAACCTATTCAGTAATTTTTATTTGGAGAATAAAGCTTCTTACTATTATGGTTTAAATTAATTGTTATGGATTTATTTTCTAGATCAAAATATATTTTATTTGTAAAAACATGATATAACATGAATCTTTTATCATTTACAGTTTTGGTCAATTAAAGTCAATGAGTAGCATCATAACCTCGGCAACAAATAAAATAAATACAGAATATGAACTGAAAGATGTAAGTTATGAAATAATCTAGATGTATATTAAAAGTACTTTGACACAAATTTTAAAACAATTTAAACGAGAAACGTGATATAAAAATGTTAATATTGTTCTTTGATCAATTTTGAATGGGCATATGTAATCAATTTTTATAAAAATCTTGTTATTTTCTCGACGAAAAATTTTATAATATACTCACTTTTCATGTTATTTTTCTAGACGATAGAGTTTATAAGAGAACACCAGGATGACTTTAGTACCGTGGAGCAAAGAACGCGACAAGCAATAGAGTATGCGCAGCGCGGCATACGATGGCTCGACAAGCATTACGAGAAAATTTCCAATTGGTTACATAAAAACATTGTATAATACCAATTTTCGATCCATCGATACCAATAAAAAATTATCGGTTTTTTTTGGCGATGTCAAATTGTAAGTTGATGGACATTCATTCTATGTAAGTATTATTTAAGAATTTGATAAACTTTCCTAAATGCATAAGTTTTTCTTTATTAAGAATTGAGATATAAATTGGGTTGTAATATATTATTAAAGAATCTTTTGATAAATGATACATTATTGTTGTTATTTTTATTTTATGTCGTTTTACATTTACTTGCTTAATTAGAAAGCTCGATTAAAAATACAATTCATTAAATGCATCGAAATATTGTATTAACAAAATATAACTTCGCTGTTCTTAGCTTAAAAAGAAAAACAAATTATTAAGTAAAATAAGCGCGGAATAAGAATAAATTTTTTCCATTTTGCATGATAAAAATCTAAAGAAAAGTCTTGGTTGCCCTCTTTCGTTAAAAAACGGCTTAAAAG